TACACGTGTGCACACAAAAGGAAGATTAATCATTGAATGTCGAGTATTTGAATAGCGTTTTGTGTAAACTAATTCATGCTTGATCGGCCAAGTGCGCGTGCGCGCGCGCGCGTGCGCGTGTGTGTGTGTGTTACACACACACACACACACACACACAGGCACACACACACACACACACACACACACACACACACACAATTTATTTATTTCTTTTTCCCGGAATTTTCAGAAAAGTCCACTTTCATCTCTGATACAGGAATGGGCAAACGTTTTGGCTCGGGGGCCACATTGATTTCTAAAATTTGACAGGTGGGCCGGGTCATCACAAGATACGCTATATCTAAAAAACTGCATATGTTGACAGTCCATACCAAACATGAACAGAACATAAGCATTAAAGTATGAACATACTTTTTAAATGAGAACAGTATTGTTGATCACCGATTTTAGCCAGTGCATTGTTGCAGATGGGTTGTGATCTGACCAGTAGAAATAGAGCGATACAGTATTTTCTAGTTAAGGAATCATATTTGCAGTGTCCCATCTTTCTTTATTACAGAATTTCCTTCTGTGGGAAACAACTACGTTACATGCCTGTATGAACGTCCAAGTATTTTAACAACATATATGTGTGACAACACAAGCAACAAAGTGCAACAATATATTGCCCAAAAACTGTTTATAACACAAGAACTGCAGTATACAGGACAGGCATATGAACAAAATATCGTCTCAAAAAATTAGGACTATTTGCTACAAAATGAGACTAGAAACAGACCTGGTCGCTTTTCTTTCCATTCACTCAACTGTCTCTAACTTGACCTCCCCTCGATCACCACCAAAGACCACCCCTGCATTAAAGTATTAACATACTTTTTTAATGAGAACAGTGAAACAACTCTGGTATATGTCCTGTATGAACGTCCAAGTATGTTAACAACATACGTGTGACAACACAAGCAACAAATTGCAACAATATATTGCCCAAAAACTGCAACATACAGTACAGATATATAAAAAATACAAAATATAACAAGGTTAGGACTATTTGCTACAAAATGAGACGAGTAACAGACCCTGGTGGCTTTTCTTTCCACTCGCTCACTGTCTCTAACTTTACCTCGCCTCGATCACCACACATGACAGCGTTGCTCAGCTGATGTCGTGCAACGAACTTTTGAAGCCAGCCACGGGACGCTTTGAAGTCTTCGATGCCCGTAGCGCCATGGAACTCGCTTCCTCTCTTATTAGCGATCCAGTTTGCGTAAAGTTTTTAGCGCGATAACAGTCAAACCATTCTAGGAAACATTCATTTACTTGACTGTCCGTTGAGCCTCAAGCAATTCACTCTGGGCATGGAAATTGCCAGAATCGGACTGAGCAAGAATCGCTTCTTTGTTTTTCAAAGTCTCCAAGCGTCTCCTGAATGTTTCGTACCTTGTAACCTGCTTCGTTTAATCAGATACACTTCACTTTCTCTTCCGTGATCATTACTGTTCCTCTTCATTTAGATGCCATGATCCACAGGACGTAAATGAATGAAATTAAAAACTTTCGCCATTCCAGTAAAACTCACTACAATCAAGAGTCACTTGCATGTCGCTGTTTTGGATCCAATGATTGAAAATAGCGGCGGCGCGGACACACTTATTCCGTCGTATCGAGCAGGAGTTGCTGCAATTGGCGCTACCGCGGGCTTGCGTATGCCTTCCCGAAATTGCGTTGTTAAGAATAGATCGTTAATGTAATATAGTAGGCAAAAGTTGAATGCATACGTTTTTGTTTTTTTTACTGGGATTGGGAATTTCCGTTTGAAAGAGGTCTGCAGGTGGTAGATAGGATTTCTCCCTCTATCTCTCTCCCTCTCTCTTCGTCTCCCCCTCCCTCCCTGTGCTCTGCAACTTCAAGTAACTGCGCCACCTGGTGTTGAAAAGCCTGTCATTACAAGTCCAAATGAAATGAATGCAATCATTCACATCGAACCTTAATTGTGTACCAACCTTCGGCGGGCCGGATTAAAAAGACAAACGGCCAGATTCGGCCTGCGGGACGTACTTTGCCCACCTCTGCTTTAATAGGTCGAAATGGACGGAAAACCCTCTATCAGTTTTAGATGGATATGGAGGAGCCCCACTGATAATAACGATTTGGAGTTCCAATTCAAGTATACGCAAACACAGACAATTCAAAATGGATTTCTGTTTCGGAAACAAGCTCAACTAAAAGAAAGGTAAATGAGGGAAAAATGGAAACTGCGAAGAGTAACAGAGATGATTGAGAAATGGGTGTGTGAAGAGTGAATAATGAGGGTCAACGTGTGAAGCATCTAAAGGCCAGATTATGCTTTCAAAGGTCAATATGCACCATCGTTAAGGAGCGTATATAGACCTTGGTCACGATGATGAAGAGTCCTGATGATGAATGAGTTGAAGATGAAGAAAAAGGGCAAAGTAGGGGGGAAAGCAACCCGCAAAGTTGCAACCCGGTGCTCAGTTACGGTAGCGGGAGATCACATCAGGTTGACCTTATTTTAAAAGCATACCACAGCATGTCTGGGGAAACTAGCCACAGAGTGCTTATGAGCCATTTCTCTTTTATCAGACAGTGGTCTTTTTTATTGAAGGAAAAAAAAAATCTTACCGAGCTGACAGTTTCGTCTGTCTTCGCCTGAGCTGTCAGTGTCATGGCTTCCTTGTGACGCGTCTAAAAAAACAGCTGGCCGGATCGGTCAAAGTACTAAATTTTTGAATAAGGCTGAAACAAAACAAGACATGGAAAAAGTGAAGTGGAAACTGTACGATTTCAAAACGTGAACGTCGACTAATCATCAAAGATGATGCAGCTTGAGGTATTGCGTGTTGACATAATACCTTTCTAAGCTCTATTTGGAGCTATTGTATCACGTCACGAGTCTCAAAGGTAGTTTTCTCTCCAAAGGTGCACATCGACGGAGAACGGGTGGAGGTCCACGGACAGTGGAACTTGGCTTCCCCGCTGCTACCGCTCACTATCAATAGTAAGCACAGAATGTTACAGGTAATGAACAAAATATGCGATCTTGTGCTACTTTAAAATATAGATATATTTTCATTATTACATCTGTGTTCACAATGGTTTCATATTTTGGTGTAGTGCCTATCCCGAGATGCTTCAGGAAACATAGTTCTACAGTATCTGGGCACATCGGTAAGGTTATATGGCTTTCTCATTACTTGGTTCATAATTACTTAATTACTTACATCTTGGTTTTTTTTTTTCAGTTTAAAGTTCGCATTCTGTCCAAGTTGGCGGCAAAATTAAACGCTTACATGCCAGATAAAGTTCCTGAAGACACCAGCAGCATCCTGCGGTCACCAATGCCCGGCACAGTGGTGGCAGTTACTGTGAAGCCCGGTGATAAGGTAAGTGATGTGTGCACTGCGTGTCCGTCACATAGGATAACATACTGCGTCTATGGCCAAGGCAAACCGTTCTTACATTACATTCACCCTCGGTTATTGGGATAATTTGCAGGCACTTTTTCAGAAGGTACTTTTGCTCTCCTGTATTTTTTTTTTTTTTTTTTTTTTACTGTCCAGAGATGAAGTAACTAGGACCACATGGAAAATGTCCAATAACTCAAAAGGGGCTTGTGTTTTCAAAATAAATAAGTAAATCATTGTCATCAAATAAATCATCAAATAAATTGTAATCACTCAGTACAGTGGGTAGTTTGAACACTCATCGCGAATGCAGTTTTGATTTTTTTTTTTTTTTTTTTCATTTGTTCTGTTGCTGTGGACATGAAGGTTGCAGAAGGCCAGGAGATTTGTGTCATAGAAGCCATGAAAATGCAGAACAGTATGACTGCCGTCAAACAAGCAAAGGTCAGTGAAATTCTTTAGTGAACAGATAATAAATAGCGAGTCACCAGTGGGTGAAAGAAATGTTCATCTTGAGTATTAATACGATTAATGTCTATTTTTGTGTCTCGTCAGGTCAAGCGTGTCCACTGTAAGCCAGGAGAGACAGTGGGCGAAGGAGATTTGTTGGTGGAGCTTGAATAAATCAAGCCACAGCGTGATATTTATTATCCCTCTTGAGTCCATCATGGATGAGCAATATTGGTGGGAAAAAAAAAACCCACAAAAAGATTAAAAAAAAAAAAACCTCTCGACTTTTGATTAACCTCTCCTGTCTTCATAGAGTACCTACAGAGATCGGTGACCTCAACAGTGCCTGAGTGTTGAGCTTTATCAACAATTCTTATTCCAGCCAATCATCTGTTTGATGGTTGGTTTCGAAGAGTTTCTGTAACTTTTGTTTTAACATAAAAATAAAATCATCTCACCAGTTTTCTAAGACTGCTTTGCCTTTTTTGGCTCATGAAAGTAAATCCTTTGGGGGCCATCCCTCACTTTGGATCACATCCATTTTTTCATATTCATGTGCAGATTCCTGAGCTGAAGCTTTGTTGCCAATATGAGGAAAGGCAAACTGTTGTCCTCAAGCATATAAGGTCTGCTCATCTCGTCAACGGATGCCACAGTCATGGACATGCATCATTAGTGATTAAAATGAGCTCTTGCTTACCGCTGTGACGTGGAGAGGCGAGCTTGACTTTCACTGATGGTGGATATATTAATATATTAAGTCTGCACACCCCTGTTTAAATGGTTGAATGCATACGTTTTTGTTTTTTTTACTGGGATTGGGAATTTCCGTTTGAAAGAGGTCTGCAGGTGGTAGATAGGATTTCTCCCTCTATCTCTCTCCCTCTCTCTTCGTCTCCCCCTCCCTCCCTGTGCTCTGCAACTTCAAGTAACTGCGCCACCTGGTGTTGAAAAGCCTGTCATTACAAGTCCAAATGAAATGAATGCAATCATTCACATCGAACCTTAATTGTGTACCAACCTTCGGCGGGCCGGATTAAAAAGACAAACGGCCAGATTCGGCCTGCGGGACGTACTTTGCCCACCTCTGCTTTAATAGGTCGAAATGGACGGAAAACCCTCTATCAGTTTTAGATGGATATGGAGGAGCCCCACTGATAATAACGATTTGGAGTTCCAATTCAAGTATACGCAAACACAGACAATTCAAAATGGATTTCTGTTTCGGAAACAAGCTCAACTAAAAGAAAGGTAAATGAGGGAAAAATGGAAACTGCGAAGAGTAACAGAGATGATTGAGAAATGGGTGTGTGAAGAGTGAATAATGAGGGTCAACGTGTGAAGCATCTAAAGGCCAGATTATGCTTTCAAAGGTCAATATGCACCATCGTTAAGGAGCGTATATAGACCTTGGTCACGATGATGAAGAGTCCTGATGATGAATGAGTTGAAGATGAAGAAAAAGGGCAAAGTAGGGGGGAAAGCAACCCGCAAAGTTGCAACCCGGTGCTCAGTTACGGTAGCGGGAGATCACATCAGGTTGACCTTATTTTAAAAGCATACCACAGCATGTCTGGGGAAACTAGCCACAGAGTGCTTATGAGCCATTTCTCTTTTATCAGACAGTGGTCTTTTTTATTGAAGGAAAAAAAAAATCTTACCGAGCTGACAGTTTCGTCTGTCTTCGCCTGAGCTGTCAGTGTCATGGCTTCCTTGTGACGCGTCTAAAAAAACAGCTGGCCGGATCGGTCAAAGTACTAAATTTTTGAATAAGGCTGAAACAAAACAAGACATGGAAAAAGTGAAGTGGAAACTGTACGATTTCAAAACGTGAACGTCGACTAATCATCAAAGATGATGCAGCTTGAGGTATTGCGTGTTGACATAATACCTTTCTAAGCTCTATTTGGAGCTATTGTATCACGTCACGAGTCTCAAAGGTAGTTTTCTCTCCAAAGGTGCACATCGACGGAGAACGGGTGGAGGTCCACGGACAGTGGAACTTGGCTTCCCCGCTGCTACCGCTCACTATCAATAGTAAGCACAGAATGTTACAGGTAATGAACAAAATATGCGATCTTGTGCTACTTTAAAATATAGATATATTTTCATTATTACATCTGTGTTCACAATGGTTTCATATTTTGGTGTAGTGCCTATCCCGAGATGCTTCAGGAAACATAGTTCTACAGTATCTGGGCACATCGGTAAGGTTATATGGCTTTCTCATTACTTGGTTCATAATTACTTAATTACTTACATCTTGGTTTTTTTTTTTCAGTTTAAAGTTCGCATTCTGTCCAAGTTGGCGGCAAAATTAAACGCTTACATGCCAGATAAAGTTCCTGAAGACACCAGCAGCATCCTGCGGTCACCAATGCCCGGCACAGTGGTGGCAGTTACTGTGAAGCCCGGTGATAAGGTAAGTGATGTGTGCACTGCGTGTCCGTCACATAGGATAACATACTGCGTCTATGGCCAAGGCAAACCGTTCTTACATTACATTCACCCTCGGTTATTGGGATAATTTGCAGGCACTTTTTCAGAAGGTACTTTTGCTCTCCTGTATTTTTTTTTTTTTTTTTTTTTTACTGTCCAGAGATGAAGTAACTAGGACCACATGGAAAATGTCCAATAACTCAAAAGGGGCTTGTGTTTTCAAAATAAATAAGTAAATCATTGTCATCAAATAAATCATCAAATAAATTGTAATCACTCAGTACAGTGGGTAGTTTGAACACTCATCGCGAATGCAGTTGTGATTTTTTTTTTTTTTTTTTTCATTTGTTCTGTTGCTGTGGACATGAAGGTTGCAGAAGGCCAGGAGATTTGTGTCATAGAAGCCATGAAAATGCAGAACAGTATGACTGCCGTCAAACAAGCAAAGGTCAGTGAAATTCTTTAGTGAACAGATAATAAATAGCGAGTCACCAGTGGGTGAAAGAAATGTTCATCTTGAGTATTAATACGATTAATGTCTATTTTTGTGTCTCGTCAGGTCAAGCGTGTCCACTGTAAGCCAGGAGAGACAGTGGGCGAAGGAGATTTGTTGGTGGAGCTTGAATAAATCAAGCCACAGCGTGATATTTATTATCCCTCTTGAGTCCATCATGGATGAGCAATATTGGTGGGAAAAAAAAAACCCACAAAAAGATTAAAAAAAAAAAAACCTCTCGACTTTTGATTAACCTCTCCTGTCTTCATAGAGTACCTACAGAGATCGGTGACCTCAACAGTGCCTGAGTGTTGAGCTTTATCAACAATTCTTATTCCAGCCAATCATCTGTTTGATGGTTGGTTTCGAAGAGTTTCTGTAACTTTTGTTTTAACATAAAAATAAAATCATCTCACCAGTTTTCTAAGACTGCTTTGCCTTTTTTGGCTCATGAAAGTAAATCCTTTGGGGGCCATCCCTCACTTTGGATCACATCCATTTTTTCATATTCATGTGCAGATTCCTGAGCTGAAGCTTTGTTGCCAATATGAGGAAAGGCAAACTGTTGTCCTCAAGCATATAAGGTCTGCTCATCTCGTCAACGGATGCCACAGTCATGGACATGCATCATTAGTGATTAAAATGAGCTCTTGCTTACCGCTGTGACGTGGAGAGGCGAGCTTGACTTTCACTGATGGTGGATATATTAATATATTAAGTCTGCACACCCCTGTTTAAATGGAAGGTTTTTGCAATGTAAAAAAAAAAAAAAATCATTTCAAAATTTTACCCACTTTTAATATGGCCTCAGCTTATCCAACACAACTGAAGAAATATATACTTGAGAGAAAGGAGGCAAAAATAAACCCAGATAAAGTGTTTGCTGAAGTGTGCACACCCTCTTGTAACCAGGAATGTGGCTGTGTTCCGGATGATGACCTTCAAACTCATGTTATATGGGAGTCAGCACACCACTTCTGAAAAGAAAGGGGCACCAAGCTATAATTTTTTTTAAATGTGGTGTTTAATGTTGGAACACTAAATCTGAGTAAAAAAATGTATTGTCCTTTTTAGATTAGTATTACTATTTTTGTATTATATATAGTACTATCTTGATCGGGGGTTGCCAACCCACGGCTCGCGAGCCGCATGCGGCTCTTGGGCTGGTTCAATATGGCTCACAGGCTTTCATATGACAGGACACGAAAACGACTCCGCCGTGGCGCTGACTATCAAACAACGGCGCGATGGACAGCAGAATTTATGATGTCAGCCTATCGTCAATCTCGTGACTTGATTGACATACTGGGCAGCCAGTCAGATGACAACTGAATCACCGTGTATGTGCAAAGAAAGGCGCTAAGCTAGTCAGCGAATTTCCTGATTCGCTGATTGGGCGGGGGTGCCCAATATGTCAATCGTGATCGACCAGGAGCCAGTGGACTAGTTGCAAGTCGACCACGAGGGGTGGGAGGAGGAAATGGGGATCTTCGTGTGTCTGTGTGTTTCGATTTCCTTCATGTTCGGTAGTGATGGGTCCATGAGGCCTCGTGAAGTGTGTTGACACAACGACACGCTGTGTTGATACTGTGTTGATACTGTGTCGCTGACCACTGACACCTGCTGGACTTTCAAAATCCCTGCAGGCAACCCACTTGACACACTGAACTGACTGATTTGATGATGAAGTGTATACAATATCATTCACATCAATGCATTCATATTGTATTATTCAATATGTTTGAATAATGTGAAAATTATGTAAACGAGGATGCTTGTGGGCTTTGTCTTCACAAATTTTTATTCAGAAAAATAAGTTGCTCCAGTGTTTTGAATTTCAGTTTGTTGCATTTCTTGCATGCTATTTTCCCTGCTGTGGAGAACACACGCTCGCATGGCACTGGTGATGCTGGCATACAGAGAAACTGCTTTGCGAGGTGGGAGAGGTTTGGTAAAGTAGTGTGTTGGTCCTTTGATTATAACTGCGGGTCTTGACTGCGTGCAATTTTCCCCTCTGCCAGGTATCGCTGGACCTCAGGTAGAGCATCTGCTGTTGCACTTCTTCTCAGTCTCCCTACCTCATCATCCAAATGTTGCCACAGGTCATCTAAAAAAAAAAAACAAACCTAACAAAATTGGCATTTAGAACAGTTTCCAAAAAACAAACTAATGATGAGTAAAATGCCAGATGTAATTGCAGAGGTGCTTTTGTTGGTATATATTTCTGTATGGCAAATTCGACATTTCACCTGCAATAAAATATGTGAATAGTAAACTAAGAGTTACCTTGAAATTAATTTGAACTATAATGGAATAAGACATGTCAAAAATCCGAGAGGCACTTGATGACACAAGGAGATTTGAATAAATACCTTATTCTCCAAAAGGAGATCAAAATGGCCCTACACGGCAGACAATTTGCGTTTCTCTCGGAGCTGCTCCATAATATTCACGTACTGTAGCAACGCCACTCGAGTGAAGCGTGCCTCAGCAGTCGATAGTCCGATGCTCTCTGCTGTGCGCGCGTGAGCGAGAGCACGTACTCGCATGGTTCAGCCAATCAGCGCCGACGCAACCCACTTCACATATCAAAGAAGCTTTGAACTACGACAACAGCTAAGCTAGCCTAGCCGACACAACGCTCGAAGTCAGACAGACACGTTTTTCTGATAATCTGTGTGTTTTCCTTTTTGCCCAAATATATTTTTTTATTCGAGCGAGGGTGAGGTCTGGATTGTTTCGGCAGGTGGCATCACGTGGCTCGATGCACTTCCTTATTAACACAGTTTAGCGGGCTTTTGCGGCGTCGACGCCCACTGGACTGAGTCGACGCAGTTCATGTATTGGTCACGTGATCGTCTTGAAGCAGTACACGCACCGACGCAGGGATCGCTCTGTGAGCTTGACGCGTGCGTCGACGCATCGGTGTTGCAAAATGTTTGTACAGTATTTAACATATTACCTGCTCTCTTATTACATGTGTATAGAGTTTATGGTGTAAAATAGTAAAAAAATGCTTTAAAAAAAAAAGTTGTTTTCTAGACTCGGAACAGATTAAAATTTATTTCATTGACTATAATGGGAGTCATGGTTTCGGTTTTCGAACAGCCTTCTGGAGCGGATTATGGTCGAAAACTGAGGTATGACTGTATAACTGTTTTTCCTCTATCAATTTGCTGTGTAATTCAGTGAGTGACATGCCAGCATGTCAGCTGTCCAGCCAATCACACAATACGATGCAATGATGCTATGCAGCCAATCACGGCACTGACAGTACTTGCGCATTTTCTCTGCTCCATAACAATAACAGTGCGGTGGCGATAAGTGACGCTCATGCTAATCCTTTATCATGGCGAAACGACCGGGCAGTGAATGTGATACGTCGACCCCCCAAACCAAAATAAGAATGCATACCTGTCAACCTCGGCTCATATCTGCCCTTATAAATGATTACGATTCCCCTTACAAAGCAACAAAAACCCGTACAACGGACCGCGCATGCGCACATCATGCTTTATCAGTCCGACCGTACGCAGCGATGAAAAAAATATATATACGATTGAGGATTACTTTTGCTGGTTTGCCGTGACAATAGTAGCGATCGACGACGGCATTATCGTTGGCTACCAGCAGGTGAGACGATCTGGATTTGAGCAAAAATGGTCTGGGTGAGATCGGTTCACAATTGCTTTTTTTTTTCCCCCGTATAACAGTTGTAATACGCCGTACATGATTTGAAATGATAAAAAAATGTATAAAATACGGGGAAAACGTACAAGTTGACAGGTATGAGAACGAACTGCGGCTCTTTTAAGTTGGAATGGCTGTCGGAGTATGTGCAAATAGAACAAGCAGTGAAACTGGGTGAGATATTTTCTTTTTCGAGTGAGAAAGGTATGTTCTGCAAAACATGCAGCAAAGCTCAAGTTGGAAGCAAAAAATACTCTATGGACTAAATGGAAGCTGGACGACCTCAAGGGACACATTCAGCAGAAAAGTCATTTGAATTATTTTGCAATTCTACAAAGACTCAAGGGAAAAGGGATTGGAACAATATTGCGGGAGAGCGCAAACGAACCGGCTGTCACACAGTAAACCGGCTGTCACACAGTAAAAAATCCGACACTTAGCAAATGAAGTGTGTATTCTGCCCATGTTTGGACATGCTGCATAACTTTCCCATGCCAGCAGGGGAACGCGCAGACCCTGCTTCTTCTCCTCATGCCTGCAAGTCAACCTTTTCACCCGAGAAACATCTCCAACTTCAAAGTGATGTGCTTTGCGAAAGATAGATTTTGACAAGAGATTTCGATGCAGAATATTTTGTGATCACAATATTAATTGTGATCAAGAGAGGGATTGTTAAGGTATTATTCATCTCTGTTCGTTGGATTTGAAAGAAACAAAGAATGTCGAATGTTATTGGAGGTATTTCCTGCTCACTGTGTTTACGATCACTTTTAGTGCACCTCGACCCCCACCACTTTTAGGGCCCCCCTCGATAGGACATGTTTAACATCAAAAGAGGAACTGTTATCTCAAGTATCTGTGTTCCTGCCATCACACCAAATGGTGGGTAGTGGTGGTCTGGTCTCACCTCACCACTCCCAACTTCTTCCAGTCACACCGGGTCAGATGACATGTTACTTTCTTTGTTTCCGGGATTTGCATGGGAGGCGTACCTCCCCGCCTCTCATTATCATATTGTCACTATATAATCTCATGAATGTGTGTCTTTTACGCTTCCTGATTCAAATCTGGACCCCTCAGGAGCCCGAATCGATTCGTAAACTGCAGAAAAATAAATTAAACCCTTCGAAGGAACTGTTCATCACCTCCAGCCTTTATTTGGATTACCAACATCCTCCTCGTCCGAATTTCAACGAACACGCGGGGAAGAGGAGGCCGCTCTTCCCCAAACACAAGTTAAAGTTCTAATTGACTATATTTTCCTTGCCATTAAAATGAATACACCAAATATTGGATTGATGTTGATTTGATTCCTTTTCAATGTGTTATAAATACAGTAGTCAGTGTAGAAAGAAAAAAAGGGAAAGAAATTGCGAAATTTACGATCAGCATTCACTTTCACTTACATCAATTTCTTGGATAATGTATTTTATTTTGCTTCCTCCGTCTTTCATTTTGATCACTTTTACCCTCTCTTCCAGCGTCAGAGCGCTTCTCTTCTTAGCTGCTTAACATCCAAACGTCCGTTTTGTAGCCATTTTAGCAATGCAACGTTCATGCTGCGTCTGAATCTAACAATAACAAATACTTCCTGGACCCGGTGGATTTTCTTTCCACCATCTCACTGTCTCTAACTCGACCTCCCCTCGATCGCCACCTAAGACAGCGTTGCTCAGCTGATGTCATGCAATGAATTTTTAAGCCAGCCACGGGACGCTTCGTAGTCCTCGATGGCCATA